AATAAGAAGAAAATAGAAAATGAAGAAAGTTAAGAAAATAAGGTATATGGTTACTCACAGATTTTTCGCTGTTACTTCAGCTAAAAATGCTGTCACTGCGTCTTCACCGGAATCATCTTCAGTGCAAGGATGGGTTTTAGGGCTGTTTTTAGGGCAGGTTGCATTTGAAGAGCAGGTTTCATCAGCACCATTTTCAGAAATGGATTCATCAGGCTCGTCTGCATTGAAAGATTCATTTACAGCCTCCGGGTTATTTTCTTCGTCTGAATCATTTTTGTCGGGGTATTTAACTTCACGAACCATTTCCAGAAACTCCGTAATTTTCAGGTCCTTATCGAGATATTCTTAAGTCTCTGTCGAGATCTTAACTTTCTTCTTTTTCTATTTTCTTCTTATTAATTTATTTATTCATTTACTTATTGATTGCTTATTGGAATTTATTTAAACGAAAATTTCCCCTCGTCCGTTTATAAATTATCCGTCCGTTGAATTGTCTTATCACGAAGCGATACTACTGACGCATCATTGAAGCGTTGCCAAATAGTGCAGTGTGCGCAAACGTTATCGGTAAAAAGTGTGCGCAAATGATATTCGTGAAAAGCGTGCGCAAACGTTATCGGTAAGAAAAGTGTGCGCAAACGTTATGCAGCCCCATCGATGCATTTCAAATTGTAACCTTAAGATGGATTAATTTGATAAGATCAGCCTTAGTCTTGAAAAAAGTCACAAGTACTGTTCCCAAGTAACCGTCGATATTGATACATCGAAATCGATTGCAAAATGGAAACTGAACTTCTGACTTTACTTTAAGACTTTAGAGGATGATTTTCGGCAAGAAGATGCCTTAGTGATTACCCATTATAATTTCACAGACGACAATTTTGATTTTCGCAAAATAATTTATTAAACGACTAATACTTAAAGTCTATCGATCGTACCTAGAATGCATCGCGCAAAAGTCATGGCGCCCCCCCCCCTCCCCCTTTAAGGGTGTGACGGCTGTATTTTTTTTTGTAATTTTAGTTATATGGATCACCCTGTTGCTTCGCAAGATTTAAATCCGAGACTCATTGAAAAACAAATCAATACCGTAAAAAAAATGATTTTCCTTTGACCCCAGAAATTGGCGCCTGAAATTCTGCTGATTGAACTTGGGGCAGGTGTATTTTCGGCATTCAAAAACATTTATCAATATGTATGTCACAGTAAGAACCCGAAATCCGTCAAATCTAGTTTTGACTAGTCAGAACTAGTCGCCACAAACCCCATTCGCCAAAACTAGTTTTTACTAGTGAATTCTAAAATTAACCGCTGGTTTTAACGAAGAAGTCAAACCTAGTTGTAACTGAAAAGAAAGCGACATGGCCGAAGGAGAGGCCGCCTAAGAAGACGGCGAGTGCTTTTTGAAGAAGGTGAAGGAATGCTACGAAGGTAAAGACAAGCATTTTAATGCTATTCCTACAGAATCATATGAGGCCCTTATACAGCAGGTGGAGGAGGCAATAGCTGCTCCTAAAAAAAACATCAGCGCAGTATAGACGGATCAAAAGATTTAACGTCTTAAAAATTGGCGATTCTAAAAAATTAGTCACGCGGGAAGAGCCTGTAAAATATTACTTAGCAATGGAGGAAATTTTCGATGTCATTGAATCGGCGCACATCGCAGTGGGGCATGGTGGAAGAGACCGATTGCGGCTTGAAACGTCTCGCAAGTTT